TTCTTGAATATTCTTATTAAATTTTTCTTCCCATTCCCGTTTCAAACTTTTACCATTTTCTTCCAATTCATGTTTCAAACTTTTACTATTTTCTTCTAATTCACGTTTCAAACTTTTACTATTTTCTTCCAATCTTTCTTGAAAGTGATGAGGATCTGGAAAGTATTTTTTCACTTGTAAACACTGATGAGGATCGAGTTCTTCCGACAGCTTGCCGAGGGAGGAAGAATCTTCACGAACACATTTTGTGTTCCGACAGTAGTGATTATTCCCTAGATCATCATCAAGTAAGAGTAGATTGAAGTGTAGCCGTCGCTTGATGGATGAGTAGTAAAGGGGGCTAACAATTTCCCATATCCACTATCCATCTTTCAAAACGGATTTAGTCCCGTCACAGAACAGTGGTTCTTCGATTCAAATTTCGGTATATCAGTTAATTTCATAGGAAACTGGATACCATGGTAGTCCGAAGTGCGGGAATAATGTGGGTAGGAAGTAGTTCTTTGCGGGTTCGCTTTTGCGGGATACAAAGCTGACGTAATTGCCCATGCGAAGCAGGCTTGGTCATCGTTTCGCACATTCAGTACCGCTTTCTTGAGTAAAACTTGTTTCGGTAAGGGAATGTAGGAAGACGGTCTCAGCGGATTGTACTTGTTAAAGTTGATTTCAAGGAAAAGAATCCTTTCTAAAATCTATCCTGTAGAAATGGGAAAATGTTAAATGAAAAATATACTAAAAAGATCAGTTACCTGACTCTCGTTCTTGAAACTCTGACGCTTTAGCCTCAAGTATCTCATTAAGTTTTGTAGAAGACTGGAAGATGGATTGATCAGTCACAGCTTTGTTGTTTGTGTTGAAGGATTTAATTTTAACCAACTGTTTGGTTTCATACACGTAACGTCCAAAAACTTCAAGATTTATTTTAAGCGTGTCGTGGAGGTGATTACGTATAACATGCAAGCATTTGTCGACAATATCAGTGAAAAAGTCGTTATACAATAAAAGGTATTTCGCAGACGTAATACGAAACGAAGCAATCCTGTTAGCGAAAGCAGAGGAAAGAAAACCGATTCCCTTCTCAAGAGGTGAGCAACAATTTTGCTAATGCTGTAGGGTGTGTAGGTGACCGTTGTACGAAGATTGAGGAACATAAATTTTGCACCTTTCACACCAGCGGTCAGACATTGTCTTATCGTGTAAAGGACGTATAGCAGTCCAGACAACGAATCATACCAGTTAGATGTAGCGGAGGTGTCTCGAGAAAGACTGAGGATGACCGTGTGCAAAGCAGTGTTTCCACTATAACGATTTCATTCAATCAAAAATTATTTTGCTGTAGTTTTTAGTTCTGACACCACACACCACATAGAGTCCTTTTCACGAAAGACGGCACCCAGTGGTGGCGCTGTTGTCTACGCGACGTTATGTTACCAGTATGGGAAAACAGTTACTTAGTTCTACAAAATTTCCGTGTGCCGTCTTTCGTGAAAAGGACTTTAAAAAAAATTCCCTTATCGTATTTCTTCTATAGCCTGAATTAGCCTGCCCACTCACGCCTCTGGCGATACCAATCTGTTTTCCCATACTGGCAACACAATGTCGCATAGACAACATTGATAGATATGTCAAAATTCACCAATCACGTAGCAGTTAGAGCCATCATTTCTCATACGCGAAAATCCTCATTCCAAAATTTCTGCAATGTCTTTCCCCTTTTTCTTCCCCTCATGACCCTAATTTCCCCTTAAAAGGGGAATTTCCCCTCAATGTGGAAACACTGGTGCAAAGTAGATTTAACAATGTAAGAAAATGTGGAGGGGTGGGAGAATATGAAAAAGGTGTGGGTATATAGAGTGGGGTAGATAATATTTAAGAGAGATGTATACAGGATGCGATTAAGTGAAATGGCTGAATTGGGGCAGTGTGATGCGGCTGATGCGTCAGTGATTAGTTTGGACGAGTCGAAGCTGTCAGCGATGCTAGAGAAATTCTTCCACAACGATCAGTTGGCAAGCGTGACAGCGCCGGTCGGTGCCGAAAAATCATGCGTAGATGGAGCCACGGAAAGGATAGCAGGGCCTGTGGCTGGTACATGGCGGAAGCCGGCAGGGAACGGTAAATCCGTAAGTATGTAGCGGTTTCAATGTTCACTAGAGTTTACAATAACTTATTAGTTGTTTAGTTACAATAGAAATGAACAGTTTGGCTTCTCGTTCTTGAGAGTCGCTGCTGCAACGTCAATGCGGCCGCAAGTATGAAGCCTAGAAGCGGACGTACAACAGAAGAGTGTAGGGCGGTCCGTTGGATTATTCAAAGATGATTCAAAGCTTGAGGACCAGGTGCGAGAAGCAGTGACACTTCAACAGAAGAAGCGAAAACGGGAAGGTGAAATAAAGGACCATGACATGAAGGGCGCTTTACTTTTGGAACAAATAATGCGGAAAGAGAAAGAGTTGGAGGATCTGAAGAAAAGTCCTGAAAACAGCTGTAGGTCCNTGAAGACACTTCAACGGGAGAAGCGAAAACGGGAAGGTGAAATAAAGGATCATGACATGAAGAAACATGCAAAAGAATGAAAGATTACTGAAAGAAAAGAAAAAAGGGAGAGGAACAATCATAGGTTATTTTATTTTCAAGAAAATTATGTTGTATAAAAAGAAATGCAGTAAAATGTGTTATAACATTCAGCAATCTGAGGGCAATTGAACACGAAATGCATATTCGTAAATCTAAAGCTCCAATTTGTTAGGATCCGGGACTGTTGACATAGATGGTCTGTGATTCAATCATATATGTGAGTAATGAATTTTTGCTTTCAATAATAGAAGTGATGTAATTTTATGTTCCAATTGGTACCACGAATATGTGACTTCAATATTAGTGATTATAAACGTCACACCCTATTATTGTTCAACACTTTCAAGATCACTGTAGGAAAAATAAGAAAAAGGAGTAGTTGTTATAAAGTTTATTGTAAAAATTACATTTTATTTATATATAGAACAAGTGCAACTGTTACATTTATTTCATTTTAAGCAACTGCTTGATGTGTAAAATATCATAGATTACGTACTAGATGGTATCGGTCTCCTGGGCGTCTAACTGACGAAAGTACTCCTCCATCTGCAGGATGAAGTCCACCGGACACCCATTCCATCGAAGATTTCCCAACCCTTACATTCTAAAATAGTAAAGGGTGCTTGGGTGTTTGCTAACGGCGCATCGTTGAAAATTATGTAATAGTACATGTTGCACCAGACGGTGATAGCGTTATCCGTTGTCACAACCACCACAACTGTGGCAACGGGTAGGAAGAAGCTGGGGATTCGGCAAAAAAGTGACGTCTCCGACGTGAAGCGCTTTGGCGAAGACGTTTATTACAATAATGGCGACCCCGACAGAAACGCCGACGAAGAAGCCCCCCACCCACCCACCCACACACACACACACACACACGCGCGCGCATAGTTCGTTTTTAATTTTCATTTCACTATTCCATATTATTGCACCATTATTCGTTCCATACCGACAATTCCCACACATTGGTAGATAACGAAGGTTGTTGCTATGGTTTGTAGTAAATTTTACACTCAAACAGTTTATGGGTTACGGTCCACTCTTTCATCTGGCTGACGTCACTTACGTATCTCATTGCTTTATTTCCACTGTACTGCTGTCTATCTACGTAGTTTCCTCCAAGTAAAAACATATTACGATATGCTTCGTCAAAAAAACCTCCACATGTTCAACATTATTCCAATATTGTACTGCTGCTACACTACCACACACTTCATGGATACAGCTGCCGCTTTTTACATTCATTCTCACTCTTCAACGTTCACACTTCTCTCTTTTATGTACAACACTCCTTTTGATGTCTTTCATTTATACTCCGTTCCACTCAACCATCTTTCTTCTCCTCCCTAACGTATCGTTACTTTTTTTCACTATAGGCTACATAAGCAATAGGTTTACTTTTGATTTCAGTTTTAAGCATTTCATTTTTAGGGACATTCTGCTGCCCAGTGACCAGTTTTTCCACATTTATTGCAGGGAAACTTTTATTTTACATGAGCAAGTTTTTCGGAATTTAAATTCTTAATACCTGATTTATTCTTGAGTTTAATCTTTTGCCATAAAAGCCACTTCATTTATTTCAGTTTTACTCAATAATTCACGTGCTTCGATAAAACAAAATTTTTCAGTTTCTACTGATCTGTTGAGATATCCCACAAATTCTTGAAATTATTGTACTCTCTTCTCAAGGTTGACAATATTTCACCATTCAATATCCTTTCAGATAACTTATTTTCATTGTGATTTTCTAATTCACTATGTAAGTCGACGAATCTGCAACACGTTCTAAACGAGCACACACCTTAGTCCAATGTATGTATCTGCTGAATAAATACAGGTTAACAATAATGACAATAATGCTGCTGTCGTTTTGTTCAATGCACTTGTGATGATGTTTGCTGCCTTTGTATCATTTTGCATCCAGTTTTGCAGTTTATTATTTTATTCAGCAGTTTTACCTGTTTGTAGAAGTCAGGACATCTCGATTCGTCACTAACAATACGAAAGCACAGTCATACACAATCAATTGCCGTTAATTAAATTATCATAGAAGTTTTTGAATAAATTGACATTTGATTTCCACCTGCTACCGAAACAATTGTCCTTTTGTTTAAAGAACTTATGGACGCACAACTATGATACTTTTATATTTAGAATCCACAAACGATGCACAATTTATTGGTAAAGTTTGAATCATGTTTAAATCGTTCGATTATTTACATCAGGTGCCAGATTCACACGACTATGACAATGTTTTATCTTTTTTGATCTATAGGTCGTAATCGGTCGTAATAGTCAAATCTTAGAAAGTGTAGGAGGCTCTGTGACTCGAGCATATTCGGTTACGTTCGTGTTGACTGCTCCTGTTTGCTCCCCAGACAATCTCCAGTCGCTTGTATAAATTTAGGCGATTTTAGGTTAGAAATTTGAAATTGTTTATAATACATGTTCCAGTTGTGTTATTTTTGTTTGCAAATCGAAATTGAGTGTCAGTTTATGTAGATATTGTCAAAGAATATTAATTATTTTAGTGACAAGCTTATAATTTTCTAATCAATGAAAAAAAATAATTTTCCAATAGGTAAATCAAGGTTAGATATATAAGTAAATTATAGTATGAATCCACCAACCCAATCAACTATTGAAGATGGAAGTGGAATCCCTGCCCTGTTAAAGAAACTGTGTAACAATTTTGCTAAAAACAATGCTGGTAATATAAGCTAATAAAAGTGTTACATGGTAGTAAAGCCATTATATTTGTAGAAGTTTCATCACACTTGCTTCAAACAGCTTTTAATTTTTTAAATGTTTCCTTTTCAAATAATTTCTGCCCACTAGACGAGCACTATGTAATAACTCAAATAAGGAAGACTTTGTACTCTGTTAGCCTGGATCAAGTGCAGAATTTTGATTTACTTTATACTAAGCTTCAAAAAACAGTGAGTAGATTTTTTTGATTCTTTTAAGTAAAATTACTAATTCTGCATCTTTTCTAGTCTATACTCAAACATAAAGTTGCTGTACTACACTTTTTATTGAACATGTCTAACACATCTCATCCTTCCACTTCTTACATTCATGAACTGCATAGCATACAAAGTCAAAGTACCAGTTTAAAGTCACAATTTATATTTCTTCCTGACGATGGTAGATCCAACATTAAGAGAGTATATTCAGGAACATTAGATACAAAACCTACACGATCAAGTTCAGCACAGCTTTGCAAAACTCTTTCAGCAAGTGCTAGTGACAATCACATGCAACTTTCTCTTTGGAAGGATAAAAGTTGTTCCTCTCTTTCAAGTAGATCGTCTTGTAAGTACTTAATAATTTCTAATTTTAAATATTAATATAAATGTAACCGTTATAGCATACACTTATATAAAAGAAACAGACTTGATTCAGGAAGTAATATACTCTTTACAAGGTATCGAGGGTCGTATCCTTCGTAAGGAACCAGGGGGGGTGGGGTTTGTAATAGACCCTAAAATGATTAAATGCATAGGAATTATTCAAAGAGGTTTGGTTGAAAGGCTGGCCAATGTAGGATTTTTACATAATCAATTAAAAATGTATTGTGATGATGCAGATAAACAGATTGGTGTTATAGGCCAGGCATTAATGGCTGTCTTTAGAGAAGAGTTAATGGAGTATTATAAAATGGTGGCCATACTACAAGCACAGGTACATATTACTCAATTGTATTTTTTTTTTATTTTAAGTTATCAAGCAAANCCTCCAATTTAATTAGCTTAATATCCCTTTCTTCTATTTTCTTTTCCATCTCGATTCCCATGTCATTTATCTTTTCCTCCATTCTCTCTCTCTCTCTCTCTCTCATATTTATCGCTTCTTGTACGTTATCTATTTCTATTTTCATTTCTTCTTGATCTTCTAAATAAATAAATAATTGCTTTCAGTTTTTGTCAAGTGAATAGATATTCAAATGAACGCAGCATTTTTTAAAATGGCATTTTGCATTTTTCTTTTATATTTCTTGTAAATAAAAAGTTTACTCGACACCTTACATTTTATTTTATTTTCATATAGTTAAAGGGACAAAATTATGCTGATTCGTCAAATTTGACTCTTAGAAGAATGATAGTGTGGATTGCCGATCCTCTAACTAAGCTTCAATGGCTTGCATATATAGCAGATCAATGTAGTGACAAAAAAGGGGGTGCTTTGATAAGTGCTGTTCATGGCTTTTTACAACATGGTTCTGTTAGTGCTCAAAAGGTCTGCAATATAATTAAAAAAATGTACAATGAATTGCACTGAAATTTTTTAGATTTCTGCTAAAGTGTTATCTGCAGTTTGTAGGCCGTTTTACATTATGCTCTGTAAATGGTTACTAGATGGAGAATTAAATGATCCAAATGGAGAATTTTTTATTGAGGCACGAAATATAACTAAAGCTGAGAGGTTGTGGCATGATAAATATCATGTTAAGTAAGTTTGAAAACTATTTAAAAATAACGGAATTTCGTAAATAAAATGGATTCTTTAAATAACCTTTTGTACAACACTGTTTATTAATATATTTTAATGTAGAAAACAAATGGTTCCCACATTTATAAGTATGGACCAAGCAAAAAAGATATTAGCCACTGGTAAAAGCATAAACTTTTTAAGACAGATTTGCCAGGATAATGAACAGATTCCTGGTAGAGAGGCTTTGCAAAAGTTATTTACACATACCACAGCTGAGGTTTTATTTGCCCCTGAACAAAGCATTGATTTGCATTCGAACTTAGAAAATGCTTATTGTCAAACGTCACTTAGAGTTTTAAATATGCTTAAGGACAAATTTCGACTTATGGAACATCTTCAGGCATTTCGAAGATATTTACTTTTAGGTCAAGGTGATTTTATAAGACATCTTCTCGAATTACTTGCGTAAGTTAAATTAAAATAGTGGTATATTCTTTTTGTTTTGTGTAAACGGTTTTGATTTAGGCCGGAATTGAGTCGTACTGCTGCGGAACTCTACGGGCATACTCTCACGGCAATTTTAGAATCTGCTATAAGAACTACAAATGCGCAGTATGAGGAAGAAGATATTCTTAAGCGTATAAATGTCGGTTTTATGAATCATTCTCATGGTGACTCTGGTTGGGACGTTTTTACTTTGGTATATTTCTTAGATGGTCCCATGGCGTCCATTTTCGAACCCGCCATGGCTGATTATAAAGGACTCTTTGGTTCTTTGTGGAAAGCAAAAAGAATGGAATTTGTGCTATCTAATATGCGAAAACAACAAATTTCAATTGCGAAGTTGTTTAAAAATATGAAAGGTAAGCAGTATTTTGTTATGAATAAATGAAGTAATGAAAATACTTTTTTATATACAGAATTATTTTTGACATTTCTTAGACTATTAAATCATTCATCATCATAAGGGCGTCAGTCCTAAGACTGGTTGGACACATATCTCCACTCTTTCCTATCCTGAGTTAAACTTCACATTTCCCTAAAACTAGAACAACCCACATCCTTAACTATTTGTGAACAGTAATCTAATCTAGGTCTACCTCTACCCCTCTTAACTTCTATTTATGCCTCTCATATGTCTCTGACTAGACCTTCATGTCTGAGAAGGTGTCTTACCAACCTATCTCACCTATTTTTTATTGACTTCCATAGAGTCCTCTGTTCTCCTATTCTTTCTAATAACTCTTCATTTCTAACCTTTTCTATCCAAGTTATCCTCATCATTCGCCTGTAACACCACATTTCGAACGCTTCTAACCTTTTCTTTTTCGTCGCGCCCACTGTCCATGTTTCGCACCCGTACAGCACCGTGCTACAAACATACACCTTTAACAACGTTTTTCGAATTTCTGAATTAACTGTTCGCGAGCATAGAAGTGACTTCTTTTTATTGAAGGCGACTCGACCCTGCGGTATCCTCTGCTTTATATCCTTACTTCTTGCGTCCTGACTTATCTGACTTCCTAAATATCTAAAATCAGTAACTTCTTCTAAGTTTTCGTTTCCTATCTTTATAATCACTCTTTTCCTACTTTTTCTTCCCTTGCATACCAGTATTTTAGTTTTACTTTTATTTATTTTCATACAGTACTGTTTTGTCAGTACCGCTTCTCTTTTATTTAATGCTGTCTCTAGGTCCTCCTTGCTAGGTGCTAATACTGCTATATCATCTGCAAATCTAAGCATACTAGTCTTTTGCCCCTGTATATCTATCCCTACAGTTGTACTGTTTTTAATGATGTTGATCGCGTCTTCGGTGTATAAATTAAAAAGTAGCGGTGCAGTGTCTGATTCCCTTCCTAATATTTACTTCTCTACGTTGCAACCCTAACTCTATAACTGCCAGTTGTTCTTAATACAAACTAAGTATCACTCTTCTGTAGCTCATCCCTACATTTTTAGGTATATTTAACATCTTGTCCCATTTAACATTGTCAAAGGCTTTTTCTAAATCTACAAATCCTATGTACGCACTCTTTCCTTTTTCTATCGTTTTCTCAATTGTTGCACGTAAAGCTAGAATGGTCTCTTGCGTTCCTCTATTTCATCTGAACCAAAATTGATCTTCCCCTAATAGTTCTTCCGCCCTTTTTTCCATCCTACTCTGTACAAGTCTATATAAGATTAAATCATTATTTGAGAATTTTTTTCAAATATTTAGTTCTACTAAAAATATTTCGGGAAAATTATTACTAATAAACTGTCAACTAAGTATTTGTTGTGAAAATGGTAAATTGTACAAAAAATAACAAAAGAATGTTTATATTCACCAATTTTATTTAAGACTCGATATATGTTTCAAGATTTATCCAATTATCAAGAGTAACAGTATATTAAATTGGATATGTGCCAGATAACTTTAGTATATATTAGCTTCATTTGGCTATCAATAGTGGGGGTTTGACCTAATTCTAACTGGTTGTTGACAATGTTCAATTTAATATTAATTATTTTTTTAATTTCTAAATTTTCGACTAGTTACTTTTTTTGCTTTTTACAATATCCGTATGTGGTACTTTAACAATATATTGAAATCACTTTTTTGTCATGTTAGCGCGGAAAGCTCGTTTTGCATGCTATGAAATAGGGAAGAAATGGCCTCTTTTCAGCCGTGTTTTAGTTGGGACGAAATGAAATTAGTCTTTTGAGCGCATGCGCTCGCTTTCGGCTCGGGCGGCAACTCACACGTTGTCTGAAATATCCACTTTTTAGACCTCGATACGTAATGTACTATTGTGCACGAGATCGGTTAATTTGGAAATTGGAAAATGATTATCAGAGGTGTAGAAAAGAAGAAATGAAAAAGTTAGTTAGTTAGAAAGAGTAGAAAATCAGACGGTATTTTGGAAGTCAATAATAAATAAGCTAGAGAGAGAGGTTGATAAAACACCTTCTCAGACATGAAGAAGTAATTAGAGTCATATTAGAAATTGAAATACGAGTTAAGATGATTTGAGGTAGATTTAGGTTAGATTATTTTTCGCAAATAGTAAGGGAAGTAGGTTGTTTCTAGTTTTTGAAAAATGCGAAGATTAGCTCAATGTAGGAAAAAATGGAAGTACGTGCCCAATCAATCTTCATGCTAAAGACGTGATGATGATTTGATAAATGCTACCTTTTTCCAGTAATTTCATTTTATTTTTATTATGAAATAACAAGTGTTTTAAGGTGATGTTTTTATATTCAACCGTAGTTAGGCTTAATTTCTGTCATTTGTTTTTGTATTTGGTCAACAACAAGTTAAAATTAGATTAAATTTCCTTCCGACTGTTGTTAACTTAGTTGCCCTAGCATATACAAAAAAAATCCCAAAACATACAAACATAAACATGGTAACCATAAACTTTTTTGTACGAAACCTATTACATTGTCTTTAAAGACTGGTTTTGATTTTGCTGATTTTTCAAAAAATATTTAACAAAAGGATTTTTATTTTAAATGTAATTCTTTAATTTTTTTTAGAACTAACGTCGGTAATGCATTTAATTCATGTTTTATCCAGTGAAATGATTCATTTCTTACATCAGACACAATATTATTTCCTCTTTGAAGTACTAGAGTGTTCTTGGGCAGAAATGTCAAAGCAAGTCGGTCAAGCTGAATGTTTAGATGATGTAATCAATGCTCATTCCACGTTTTTGAAATCCGTTCAAAGCGGTGTTCTTCTGGATACGGGAATTAATGGACATTCTGTAAGTTAATAGATCACCTTTTTTTGTGTGTGTAATTTATATGACGAGGCTAAGAGATTTTAATCTTTTTTATTTCACTATACTTTGTCATAAATAATACATGCTATATCCTCATACACCAATTCAGCATTTTGTCTAAGGTACATTACAAGTTAATATGCTACGAAGATAGGCATAGATAGGTAGAGGCACTGGGGCACTTTCTCCCCTGGTAAGATCATTTCCCCCCTGGAAAAAGCATTGAAACCAAACAAATTAAACCATAGACATAAATTAATGGACGTGCCTTAGCCGTACGTCGTTGTAATAATTTTTTGGCTCGAAAATTGAGGGAGATGGCGTATGGTTTCGGACTAGTGCTATTTCTTTCATGACACGCTTACGCACTATCGTGAGAGAGATGGATATTATCCGAAACTTCGTTCCATCTCTTTCTTTTGTTGTATCACAATTCTGACCGCTAAGGCATGTCCATTAGTAAACGTCGATGCATTAAACCTACAAACTTACAGCTATTGAAAATCTGTCCTCTGTATGAGAAATCTCTTGCTACGCTCATGTTAATATTACTGGCTTAGAAACGAAAATAGCTGATGCAGACAGAAATTAATGTTACTTCTTACCTTATTAATCTACTTAAGCTATTGACAACATTTTTGTGTTAACCCATAATAAACATGCGTACCTATATGTCGCGGCATTGACGTGTTAATAAAACGAAGCGATTAACAATCCAGGAGTCGCGGATAAATAGTTATGGCGCTGATTATTGGAGAACTTGCTAATTCTTTCAATTGCGTATAATCAGGACTAATGACTCTGAAATAAAAAGAAATACATATGTATATGACAATGACAACAGTTACTTCGTGACCTTATTTCTAAGTGTATCCGTCAAAGAAGACATTAATAAAAATAAATGAACCAGCTCACTTTCACTCTAAGGTGTGCATACTATTTTCGTCACATATACAGAGTGTAACAGAAATAAGTGACGAGCTTTGGAGGGTGTAAACTAGATGCAATAAACAATCGTACGGTGAGTTCAACAACAATATACAAAAACCAATACTACACTGATACTAGAAATCGACAGCACTGCGGGCTGTATTTACGAATGATGACTGGAATTGAATTTACCTTTACTTTCAACTACGTTTTTCTGGAAAATAATGAACATTTAGATATACAAACAATTACCTAATTTTCATGTTGTATAGTGCTCTATCACCCCCTGCAAGCTCGGCACTTATTTATGTTACACCCTGTATACAGGAAGTTCAAAAATTCGTGTCTCATCGGTTCGGGTGCCTGCACTATATCACGGGAATAATAACATTCTGTTATAGATCTTTATATAGCCAGCTAGGGCTTCGAACGCTTTTTAAGTATTTTTTTTTATCTTTATTTAATTTATTTATTTCAACTAATGGAAGCAGTAATATTGCTGTTATGCACATATTTATTTACATCGATAATAACAAATGCTACAACAATTTACAGCAATTTATAAATTCCGATTATTTTAATTAAAAATGTCTTATCAATCCAATTCTTGAACGCTGATAGTGATGGGACGGTGTACGTTGTCACATATTTCTAGCCGAGCATTCCGCATGTTGACTGTCCTGTTAACTAGGAACTGTGATCGCTGATTTGTACATGACCTTTCTGAATGTCATGGAATCCAATCCAAGATGTTAAATTCATTTTCATAAGTCTCAGGGAAACGTTTTAATTTTCTGAGCAGTTTTGTAGCTATCCCTTGAGCGGATTCCAGGTAGTCGATGCCTAGGTGATACCGGCGTACTGCATGTTTGACCGAAAGTACGAAAATATCAAACGCTTTAGGACAAATTATTATTATGTCCATTGTATATATTATTATTGTGTGTATATCCGTCATTGTAGATTATTAGGTATAAAACTGTTGCTGTTGCGATATAAAACGGCTCTTGATTGTATGTTCACGTATGCACATATCCATGAATCTTTTGCATATTTTGCTATTTTTTTTTTCATAACTTGCTGACTGCACTATATGACCTGAGATTGTTATTCTATCGTTCGTGTTTATGGAGTTCTTGAACTCAGATTTGCTTTTTCTTGTCAGACAAACTGGCCTGTGGTTTATTGGTACCTAGTGGTTTATCTTGTTTTTTCCAAGGATTGGGGGTAACTGTAGCAATTTTCTAACTAACTCAATAAGTGAAAACGCTTCAATTCTATGACCTGCCACTCAACGTTATCAGTGTAAATCTTTTGTAATACTCTCGGAATGGTAAAAAAGCACAGAAAAAATCATTACACCAATTAATAGTAAATGTAACAATCGTGTATCCAACTGGCGAGAGATGTGAAGCAAGCCTCATATAATCCTGCGAGCCAAAAATCATCGAGGTATACAACAGAAAGTAAGAAAGTTTTAGCAACTTTATAGTCCTTCCTCAGTAAGGTTTTAGACTAACAGCCAAAAATCAATAATTTTTTAGTGCAAAGTATCTCGAAAATTTTCCATTTTTCGGCATATCTCACTATACGCCTTCCTTGTGATATTTCGTGTTTTTTTCCCGAACCTCCTCCCCCCTTCGAATCCTCACAAAAAAATTCAAATGAAACTTTTCTTTGCCAACTTTAACAACCGAATAAGATCGATAAAATGTTCTTTCTGAAATAAAATGCTCGTCGGTATTCTCCCAGTTGTTCCATAGATGGCGGATATATAAGCTTGTACTGCTGCATTCGTCCACGACTTCTCATCTTCCACATCGCTTCTACTTCCTAGCCAATAAAATCGCTCGCATTTCTTCTCTAGAGTCGCTATAACGCCGAAATGGAAGTACTACATTTTTTTTCTGGTTCCATCTGAATTCTCCCACAGTCTTTTCAAAACACCATGATCTAAGGTACGGGAAGTTACTGGGCCCAATAACCGTTCATTGTCTGGCTTAGGTGACTCACATGTGCTCACGGTGGTGTTGAGATTAAGCTATTTTCCATCTCATTTTTGGGTCTTTCCTCTGATCTTCTGTTAATTCGTTATCTTTCCAGGTTCCCTCAGATTGAACGGTGGTTAGGTTTCAACAGATCGATGGCAGTCGAACAGTGTTTGCAGTATCTTACACTAAGTCTCGGAGATATTGCATTTGCGTTGTCGTGTTATTTGCCTGAGCAATGCTCGTTATCGAACTCATATATTGTGTAGTCGCTGTAACTCTCGTGATATCTGTCATTTCGTCTGTAGTCTATCTTCGCAGAAAGATCGTATATTGTTTAAGGATCAATCGTGGCTTAAGAGACTTATTCATCTACAATTCCAGCATTTTGGACGACCACTGTAGGTTCTTGCAGTCTCGAGCAAAATGAGCAGTCCTTCCACATTCCCAACATTTAGGGTTCCATTCGCCCTTGTTACTAGCAGTGCCTTTCTTCACATCGATTACGCATTCCTTGATGAGCAACACGATACCTTCTTTTGTAGTTGTGCCATTGTCGATTTCGGTTTGTTGCACACGTACATAACCCTTGGAAGCTTATGACAACGCTTCAGTTGGAATGCTATTGTTCAGCGTGCCTGACTCGATCGATAAATGTTTGTACTGTCAGTTGGTCTATGAGGGGCAGAAGGGTATACTAATTTCATGAGGCGCGCCACATCGGACTCATATTGTTGAAGAGTCTCGTTACTTCGTTGCTAACGTTTTTACAGCTGGAAAGATGGAGGTGTAATTTTTGTTGGTCTTGCACTGGATCCGTCAGTTCTCGCAGTATTAGGTAGTCGTAACTTTTCAATTTCTTCTTTCATTTCTTCAATTCGCGCCTGCACCCTTCCTCCAATTTAATTAGCTTAATATCCCTTTCTTCTATTTTCTTTTCCATCTCGATTCCCATGTCATTTATCTTTTCCTCCATTCTCTCTCTCTCTCTCTCTCTCATATTTATCGCTTCTTGTACGTTATCTATTTCTATTTTCATTTCTTCTTGATCTTCTAAATAAATAAATAAAATAATAGAGAAAATCGTTAACTATATTTATGGTGGGTTTAAGAAGTGACATAAACATGGTCAGAGTTGCATAGTCACTTCGACAAATGAACTAACCATTTTTCCACCACAAACCATACATGTACCTAGCCAAAAACCTTCAGCTGACAGTGATTTTTTATATTGCTTGAATCGTTAGTTAATTTGTCGATGATGACTGCAATGCCAAGATGCCTCATCGAGCAGCTTGTTTTGTCGCTAAATGACGGTCTTAGTCCCATTATAAATACAACTGATGATTTTCTCTATTATCTAAAAAGTATATATAAACATTCAGTTACATACTTATGTAACGTATAAAATGATTTACCTAATATGCAATTGAACATTTTCAATATGATTCATATGCGTGTTTAACATGAAATGATCTAGAAAATAATCTCATAAATTTTGACGAGATATGAAAATACTCGTAGCATATCTTTTTAACAATTTTGGCACTTTTACCCCACCGGGGTCCACGTCAAAATCACCCACTCCAAAATGATACATCATAAGCAAATGTTGCTTTGTTTGTTTGGACATTATGGGTAATATTAGTTGTACTTGAAAATTTGTTGTTCTTATAGTATGTTCTAGTTAAGCAACCAATCGGATAAAACGATCACAGATGGTTGTTATTCCACGTTTTCAAATTTCCATTAAAAAGCATACCTATTATCATTTCGTTACTATGTATACAGCATTTTTCACGTAATCCGTCCATTAAAAGTTTTTAAACTTAAAAGCAGATTTGAAAAGGCGGCAATTAACCTGAAAGCTGATGCTCTTTTTAATTAAAATATTTGCAATCGTCTGTCGCTTTCGGTTATATAGGAACATCAAGTAGCTTATTTTAAGTGGAATGCTATATTTTTCTTATGACAACTTTAGACTCAGCGAACTTTTTAGATCGTCATTGATCATACAAATCTATCTGAAAATATGGTACTTTTCGAGATATTTCGATTTTTCTGAAAATTTTGAAAATTACATTCCCATGCTAAATAGCGGCTTATTCAGATAATATTGAAATGTCGTGTCATATTGAGTGATCAGCTATTTTGTACCTATCTCTGCCTGGCATTTGTGCCCTTAGTATTGTATATATATACGGGGTGTTGAGAATATAGCATCCAACTTATAAAACTTCGAACCCGCTTAATTTGTTTTTTCAAATGAAACACTATGTATTATTTCATCAGTGAAGATATAATTGAATTCTGCTTCGATTGATATAAGGATTCTATATACCAACCATTAAGTTTTGGAAAAAAGCCTACATTATTACGTTTTAAATACTTCATGGAAACCCCTGTATAACCATAATCAAAATTTGATAAATTATTTCCAGCACATTATCTTAATGAAAGATTTTAAAATTCGGTGAAGTGTTTTGTGAGAAAATTAATTTTGATGCTTAGTGTATTTTAAATTGCCTAGTACATTTAGTAATACGTTATTACTCTTTTTAAGGAATTGAGTTCTCAGTTGAGAATAATTTATAACTTAATCTTACATTTGGGAGTCGTTCAGGATCATTTATATGAAAGAGCCTTGAAAGAGCATAATTTATTTTCTGGAAAGCCACAACGCAATAGAAAAATGAAAAATAATATCAAAACCGCTGAAGATCCCGAACATAACCAGCGCCTTTCTGATTTTCGAATGTTTTTGAATACTGTGAAGAAGCAAGTGAAACACACCGCACATTCATACGCTCAGCATATTCAAATTTATCTTAAAACGCTCTCCATGAGTTCAGACTTGAATTTACAATTACTTAGTGTTCGGTTAAACTTTAACGATTACTACAAAGTTTTGTGACAGAACGTAACGCCTTGCTATAATAATAATAATAATCCTATAAATAATATGAAAAACTGCTTAAATACTAATTGGAATACTGAATTCCTGTCACAGAAAGACGATAAGAATAGTCACACTTCCGTATATTCCATAAGCAGTAACAATTGTAGTTATGGCACTATGAATTCTTTAATTACTTTCAAAAATAAAAAAGAAAAGAAAAAACCATGATGTTGTGTTGGATAAATAGTTTGTTTAAATCATTTTAATTTTCGAAGATCAGCTTCCAGTGAGTTTGACTTATATGTAAATGGGCAAGTTACATATCAAAAAATGTTATCGTGTCAAGTTCGTGAATTAATTAATGGATGACGTAAATTAACGTACAAAAGTATACAGTGTATTTTTTATTTGTAACTGCCTGAGTTGTTGATGTGTGTGAGAACCATATATTTTACGTGCTCTTTAATTTTGTATGAGATTTAGATCAGTATTGTAAAAATGAAACTACTAAATAAAAGATCCACTCATAAAGTCTTTTGCATTCGCTTTTATTGTAAATATGAGTTGTATAATTAATTCTTTAATACCTAATCGTACCGCTGATAATATTATATGTCCTATATAATGTCTTATAGTAATAATGTATTGTAAATAAATAAAGTTTTCTTAAATAGCTATTGAAAATGGCATTATTAGTGTTTATTTGAATCTTTTCTCCAAATAACTGTCTTCATTAATCAATTTTATGAAATACAATTTTTTGTTGTATGCAGTTACAGATCAATTGTAAGGAATGCAAGGGCAGACTTTGTATTTGCTTGTTACAGCCTTGAACATTTTTGTCGTGAATTATTTATTAGTTCTTCTGAGAAAAATTAAATAAACGATCTAAAGGTAGGAAATGTAGATAATCGAGCATCACATATATGGGAAAATTAAACTAAAAATATTAGAAAAACTAATTCAAGCAAGTATAACCATACACAAATAAATATCTTTTAGAACTATACTCTATATCGGCATTTGTAGCTGTTGGACGGGCAACTATTTATGTGGGTTACACTCGTTCTAGAAGGATTCCAGAATGTGATGTCTTCTAGTCATTCTTGAAGTTTTCGCACTATTCGTCCATACTACGTACTACTGGAGAATCATCAGGGAGGCCGAACATCACATCCGTTGGCAGCCTGAATTCTTTCCCAAATAAAATGCTTAAATCGTTCATCCATTTTCCAATTTAGTCCTTATAGTACAGTGTCTAAGAGTCTTTCGAATGAAGCCAGTGCATTGCACAATCCAAAGGGCATCACATTGAATTTCCAGACGTAAAAGCAGTCTTTCTACACTGCTGGTGCACTTCCACTTGCCAATTCAAATCGAGAATGGAGAACTATTTAACTCCAGATTGGCTGCCTAATGTGTCGTCGATTTGGAATAATGTGCAATTGTCCTGCGTTACATCGTTCAACTTCCTACAGTCCACACTAAATCTGACGGAATCATTCCAGTATGATAGGGCGGCCCAAGAACATTGAAATAGTTCGATCACCCCTTGTTTATGCATGTCTTTTATTAGATTATTGACTTCCTCTTGCTTCATCCAAAGAATTTTTCTGTTCTGGTGTTGATGCGGTGGTATGTTAAATTAATCCTACCGGACTATTGATTTGAGAATGCGAAGACATGTGCAAAACGACTAAGAAGTTCTTCTAACTGCTTGACTTGGTGCTTGTTGAAGTGGTTACTTGACCATTTCACTAGTTCTGTTAAATTTGCTGGAAGTGATGTCTGTTGCATCTCAAATTCTTCTTCTATCTCCGCTGAAGAAGCTCGCCACTCGAAGAAGACCTTGCATTGTACATGAAAAAGCACTAATGACGAATTAGTTTTTAATTAATTTAAATGTATAGAGCTTAATGCTTAAAAATATTCGCGTGTTCTCTATCATAAATATCCCGAAAATAGTGCATGGTTTGCATAAAAATTTCAAAACTTTTTGGAAATTCAATGATAAATTTAACGGTACTAACCGCCTTTCTTCGCTACTTTCACTCACCAGTCACTGTACGACTACTGGACATAAACATTTACATAGTTTTCATGTTTTATAGTGCTTTATCACCTCCTGTTCGGCACTTATTTCTGTTGCACTATGTATAATAACGCTATTTTCAGCAACATACTGGGAAAATAATTAATTATCATTATTTATTCTCTTATATTAATTCGTACATCGATAACAAACATGTTGCGCATATGTATATATCAACCCAATTTTTTAGCAACAAGGCAGATGCAAAAATATATTTGAATCTGTAGATACCTACGTAATAATACCAGGTATACTAATGTCAGATGAAGAGTTGCAAGATGCAGCGAAGAACCTACCACTTCACTTACAAGGAGGTAAGTTTTATTATGTTTATGTAATTTATTTAAAAATAAATTAAATTAAATTACATAAACATAATAAAACTTATTTTATAAAACATAATTTATTATCTAGCTTTAAATAAAATGGAAGCGGTACTGACAGATCAGTACTGTATGAAAATACGAGGGTGGATTGATAAGTTTCCGGCCTAACCAAGAGATGACGCCACTAGGCCTACCTTGAGGTGACATTCTATAGTACCATCCTTGGATAGCTTGTAGCTATAGTTTCAGCCCGATCTCCT